ATATATATATATATATACAAATAATGCGACTTAACTACGTAAAAGTATCATGCACTAGGTATAGCTGTGTTTTATGGCCGGGCGGGTCGGACTAACGTTATACCCGAGGTATAAACGGCGGTAGGAATATATATATATATATATATACGTAAGGCGCATTAGACGCGGGCGTTATTGGTCAGTCAAAATAAAAATTTGTTTACATATATATAATATTGATGACAAGCACGCGTGTACGGGTACGATAACTAAAATTATACAGAAAAATAGTGTAGTCGCCGACTGGTGAGCGGGGTGGGGTGAATGCGCTACGACGGTCTAGTCTCAAGGTCATAGACGACGGGATACGAGACATAATAACACGTGCCGCGTGGAGTTACAAACTTACATACAAACAACATACAAACAACATACAAACAATATACAAAATACATGTGAAACTAATAAAAGTGTGTTAAAAAAAGCAAGTTGTTCCGACGACTTATTATCTATGTGCAAATGGATTCCGTAGTTAAAAACATGTAATTTTGGTGTTAAAATTATCGATATTCGATTTTATTAACACGCTTATATTAGTTTCACCTGTATGTATGTATGTATGTAACTCTCCAAACGCCACACGTTATCGCATATTCCGTCGTCTAGACTAGACTGTCATAACGCATTCACCCCACCCCACGCCGCGCTCATCACACACCGGCACTAATATTCCTGTATAAATTTATTTTTGGTTATCGTACCCGTACACGAGTGCTTGTCATCAATATTATATATATATAAACAAATTTTTATTTTGACTGACCAATACCATCCGCGTACCATACGGCTTACGTATATATTCCTACCGCCGTTTATACCTCAGGTTTAACGTTAGTCCGACCCGCCCGCCCACAAAACACGGCTATACCTAGTGCATGATACGTTTACGTACTTAAGTCGCTTTACATGTATATATATATTCTAATTACTATTAAAAATATATAATAACACACTTTATTCTTATTTAGAGATATAGAATCATTCATTCCGATTACAAAGGATGAATCCAGTATAGTCATTTTTCGTCACTACCATCATGTTCGGGAGTGGGTAATTTACGCGCCTGCTGCTATCCTTGGATGTGGGAGCCGTTTCTCAGACTCCCTCCCCGGAATCGAACCCTGATTTCCCGTTACAACCATGATATTGATAG